AAAATTTGTATAAGCATAATTAAATTTTTTATATAATCTCCTAATTAAATAAAATTTCTTACTATAGTTCCATTTTTAATGATGCTATTAAGTTTAGAATTTTTCCTATTGATTAATTATAAATGAAAGTTTGAAAAATACTATTGTAAATTAATCAGTTGATTGATTGATTTTGATATTTAATACTGACACTGGTTTCTTTAATTTTTTAGGTTGTGGAGATGACAAAGTTGCTATTTCTTGTTGTTCCTTTCTCTTTCTTTTCTGATTATTATTGTTATTGCTGTTACTGCTGCTGTTGTTGTTACTGCTGTTATTGCTGTCGTTGCTGTTGTTACTACTATTGCTGCTGCTGCTGTTGCTACTACTGTTAATATTATTATTGTTGTTGTTATTGTTATCATAATCATCATCATTATCATCATCATCATCATCATCTTCTTCTTCTTCTTCTTTTATAATTAAGTTACCTATAATTAATGAATATGGGTGGGTGAATATGAATGAAATAACAAAATTCATTTTATAGTAAAAAAGTAATTAACAAATTTTACCTGTTGCTCGGTCATATTCATTGTCATGATGAGGCTTCATTAATAACAGTTTATCACAGTCACTTAGGATTATCTTAGTGATTCTTTCGAGATTTATATATATTTTTTATTTAATCATGATAATAAGGATAAAAATTAAAATTAAAAATAAATAAAAAATAAATGTTTACTCTTCTTCGCAAACTCTTTGTTCTATCATGTCAGCATATAAGGATTTAAGAGCTTCTTTAATTTTTGGTGCGATTATACCTGCTAAAATAATTTATTAAATAATAAGTCAGCGCGCGTGAACGTTAATAAAAAAGATCTAAATTCAAATTATTTACTTTGTTGGATTTTTTCGTGGTAAGTATTAATTTGATTGTTGAGTTCTATCCCTCTTTCTTCTATCCTTTCATACAATTTAATGTAATCATTAATTTGATTTATTAAATAATCTTCTTCTTTAGTATTTGAAGAATTTGAATAAGGTTGAATAACGCCTTTTACAAAATCCATTGTGTTAATTTTTTTTATAAAAAAAAAATTGTGCGATTTTTTATTATTGTGTTTTATCACGGTTTGTACGACAATATCTTGTAATTCATTTACTATTACATAATTATATTATAATGTGTGTGCACGTATTAACTATTTTAAATGTTATTTCAACTAATCTCTTTTTCTTTTTCTTTTTCTTTTTCTTTTTCTTTCTTTTCTTTCTTTTCTTTCTTTAAACGTTTCTTTTGTTTCTTTTCTTTCTTTTTTTCTTTCTTTAATTTTTCAATAAAATAATCTTTCATTGGATCATCAAGATCAAATTCATTTTTGGAATCCTCTGAATCTGATGATTCATCAACTTTTTAAAATAATTTTTACA